CTTTCTATCCACACTCTTTCATGTTCCTCAAGAGGGACAGGTTTCCTAGGAAAGTGATGGTGGCATCCTCAAGAAGAAGGCTAGGTCTCAGTGAGGCTGCATACACACAGGGAGTGTGAGGATGAGAAAGAGAACTACCCTTAGCTGAAGTGTCCCGGGAACTAGATCAGGCGGCCTCATCCAGCAGCGCCATACATCAATGTGTATACAATTACTCAACATACTACACGTCATTCCTTCTTAATGCTCGCACAGGAAGCACTAGGAGAAGCAAAACTAAGTAAATGTGCAAAGGAACAGGTAAGTTCTGGCTCTAACTTGGTCAATAAGGAACAACTAAACTGGAATAACCATCTGGAAACTTCACGCATAGAATTTTGCTTAAGTCCTTTTGAAATGGAGAATGATTCCCTCCTGGTTCATAGCTATGTTAAAGGAAAAGATGATTAATTGACCTTTATTACTGGAGAAATGACCCCATTTGTATTTCTAGGCATAATAATGTTCATGACAACACTACTTGTCATAGTAAAACCAGGGACAATCCAAATACCCATTGACAGTGACGGATTTTAAAGACCAGGTTGTAATTACAGAGACAAATATCATACAGAAATCATAATAAATGAAGCTCAGTTGAATATAACAAGATGCACATATGACAGAAATAAACAGTAATTTAAGAAAGGTAAAAAAAAATTCACATAAAGTGGGAGGCTCTTTTTATAAGGCCAAAACAAAATAACAACACTTCCAAGAACACATACTGGTGATAATTGAAAGAAAGAAGGGAGGGAGAGAGGGAGGGGAATAATGGCTTAATTAGCCCAGGGCTAGGGAGAGCAGAGCCACACACATTTCAGTCACTGCAGTGGTACAGTTGTGCAGCCACAAGGGTGACACATGAGTATTTATGAATGAATAGTGTGTCACAGAGGCACTGGACAGACATGTATGTAGGTGGCTAGAAGGGTTAGTGACGTTTCTCAGACATGTAAGGACCCATGTTGTAGCCAGCACTTTTTTATATGCAGGCTCCTATCATCATCTATCACGTTACAATATGTTAAGATTTAAGTTATAGGGGCTGGAGAGATGGCTCAGAGGTTAGAGCACTGGCTGCTCTTCCAGAGGTTCTGAATTCAATTACGAGCAACCACATGGTGGCTCACAACCATCTGTTATGAGATCTGGTGCCCTCTTCTGGCCTGCAGGCATACATGCAGACAGAACATTGTATACATAACAAATAAATCTTAAAAGAAAAAAAAAAAACACAAGATTTAAGTTTTTGTCAGGATGTGGTGCACGCCTTTAATCCCAGCACTCGGGAGGCAGAGGCAGGTGGATCTCTGTGAGTTTGAGGCCAGCCTGGTCTACTGAGAAAGTTCCAGGACAGACTCCAAAGCTACACAGAAAAACCCAGTTTCATATCATATCCCCCCAAAATTTTAATTTTGATTACAAAATTATGCGTTAGTATCCATTCCGATGGCCTTCTGTAATGTTCAATGGCGTCCAATAACTTTGTATTGTTTCCAGGGATTACATTTGCTTTTAATAGATAAGCATCGAACTCCTGCTGAAGAAACAGAAGGAGGTGCTACGCAGGCTCTGAAGGCAACTGAAACAATAAAGTTTGGGCTCAGCCTTCCAAATACAGCATTCTGGGTTGGTGCTTCGGAGGTGAAACACAGTTAGATGTGGCTAGCATTTTCAAAACAAGCTGGTTGTCTGAGGCAGGGAAGGAGGATGTCCACTGGGCAGCGCAAGAGCACTACCTTCTGCCTGCCATGCATTTTATAGAATTGCAAACTCCAGACAAAGAACATCTTTCTTAGGAAGACCTAGAATCCAGCGCCCTCTAGTGAATTACACTAGAGCCAATCCTAGGTTCTGATTTGAAGTTCAAAAGACAAAAAGAGAATACTATAATAACTTCATAAAAGTTACTATATATACACCTTAGAACTGTGGTGCCAGACATTATCAGGTTCAATAACTATAAGGTAATAGGAATAAAAGGATTTTTATTTTGAAAATGCTTTTAGTTAGTTGTAGAAAATTAATTTAATGGGACAGCAAGGTCAACAGCCAATTTAAGAGGTTAGGTCCACAGAAGGGTGAACTCTTACATCTTTTAAGAGGACATTTGTCACACTTAGGGGACAAGAGCAATGCAGATGCACTTAAAATCTAGCCATCCTCCTGACTCATCCCCCGATACTGTGCACAAAGACAAAGAGGCCTGAAGGGATCACAGGAAGGAAAAGGACGGAAAAAAGTGACGGTTCAGTCTTTGTCTCTTCAGTGTGGTGTACAGAAGGGCCCTTCTCTCCATCCTCTCCATTTCTTTTTACCCACAAAATTATCAGCAAGTTCCAAGAATCCTCCAACAAACACAAACATTTTTAACATGAACAGACATGCCAATAGGACTAAAATGCTTTCAAAAATTAAAGTTTATGACACATCTATAAGAAATGCACTTATCTATCCAGGTCCTCTGGAAGAGGCAAAGCAGAGCTCACAGACTTCCAAAGGACATGGAGATGCTCCCACCACCAGGTCCTCTGGAAGAGGTAAAGCAGAGCTCACAGACTTCCAAAGGACATGGAGATGCTCCCATTAGGGGAGGCATTAGGGAAACAGCATTTTCTTTTCTCGGCTGTCTTTAAAGTATTTTCCCTTCCTTTCACTAGCTCAGGAGGTTACTGACCAGGGGAGTGGACATGGATCACCTTAGATCACTGTGACGCATTACGGTGTTTAAGTCATGAGGTTCCCACAGGAGCCACTAAAAAGCTCTACTTAGAGCAGAACATCTCACACTCCTTAGAGCGGTCTTCCTTTTCTGGTGCAACCAGGCTGTAGGGAGGACCATCCCTTGGTGGATCTTCTCTAATCCCTCTGTTCTGCTGCCTTCCCCTCTAGGGCAAACATCAGTGACACTCGGTCACCTTGCTGTACAGGTGTGCACACCCCTGGCACTCGGTCACCCTGCTGTACAGGTGTGCACACCCCTGGCACTCGGTCACCCTGCTGTGCAGGTGTGCACACCCTTGGCACTCGGTCACCTTTCTGTGCAGGTGTGCACACCCCTGGCACTCGGTCACCCTGCTGTACAGGTGTGCACACCCCTGGCACTCGGTCACCCTGCTGTACAGGTGTGCACACCCCTGGCACTCGGTCACCCTGCTGTGCAGGTGTGCAGAGCATTGCCTCGCTAAGGCACAGCGAGTGAGGCCGCAGGCTTATCTACTCAGCATTTCCATTCCCCTGACCCCAGCTCCATCGCACTGAAGCCGTTTCTCTTATGCCTGCAGTGCTGCTGCCCTGACTAGATTTCAAGTTTTAAATTATGGCATACCTTTCTGGATCTTAAGGTATAAATGATATGATCTGCAATGCTAAGAACTCTGTCTTCAAGAAAGGTTTTATTCTTGTTGTTACCCAGGACAGTTCTAAGAGTGAGGGACACACAATTGAATGTGAGACGCCTGCTTTACAGAGCCCCCGTGAGAATGCATGAGTAAGGACAGTCTACTTTCCAAACTGTTACAAACTGCAGTGCAACCGAGCTGCTTAGTAGATGAGGACACTTGAATGTGAGACGCCTGCTTTACAGAGCCCCCGTGAGAATGCATGAGTAAGGGGCAGTCTACTTTCCAAACTGTTTCAAACTGTGATCTTGTACTGGTGTTTACAGTACAGCGAAGTAAATAGGTCATAATGAGACCAGCAGATCATACATAGCATAGCCATGGGCGCTACAAAGAAGAGCAAAATACTCAGGACATGAGCAAGGGTCTTACCCAGGAGCTGTGAAGGTGTCAAGGGCGACTTCCCCTGGGAGGTGCCCCAGGGGACAGATCTGAGGGAGCGCAGAGGGGGAGGTGCCTGTGCAGCAGAGTGCAGGGCAGGAACAGAGAAGGCCGGAAGGTCCACTGGCTGGAATGAAGCCGGTGCCCAGGCAGCTTCTAAGACCACACCTGCATCCTAAGGACAAGCTGGTGAAGGGTGTCACCAGTGTTAACAGTTAAATGACAGGGTCACACGTGCAAAGGGCACCTCTCAGATCAACAGCAGCAGGTCAATAAACACTGACTTCCAAACACACCCTGCAAACTTACCTCTTTACTCACACTGTGCATTCAACCAATAATCACAGCGTTTTCTATTTGCTGTAACTTTATGAATTAGTATTACTATATTTTAACATAATGCCAGTTATCTTCCAAGTTAATCTAAAAATGAATTTAAAGTACTCTAGAAATCAAAGTTGTTTACTGAATCACGAGATGCTAAAAATTTTGTAAGTACAATGACACACACCTCTATAATGGTACCTTGATTTTTAACAGTATGTATTTTGTAAAACCTGTATTGATACCAAAATGAAACAAATGAAATTAAAATAACATGAGGTTGTAACATAAAAATACATAACTTAAAGGGATCTAATACTGTTAATTATGTATACATGTTAATTATAAATTTAATATAAATTTCTTAGTAAGCTAAACTATGCCTTCAAAGAAGTCTGAGAAATCTATCTCAATCTTAGACATGTGTAGTGTACCCTATCAACCATATAATTAACACACAGTTTCTGTGTGCTACAGACAAAGATTTCCGGCTATTCAAACTTGTTATATTTTTTTAAGCGATTCTGCAGCAATCAATTAAGATACTTATATTGTTTTTTAAACATTCTGCAGCAATCAATTAACTTATATTGTTTTTTAAACCATTCTGCAGCAATCAATTAAGATACTTATATTGTTTTTTAAACCATTCTGCAGCAATCAATTAAGATAGTTATATTGTTTTTTTAAGTTATATATATTTTTAAGCGATTCTGCAGCAATCAATTAAGATAGCTGACAAACAGCAAATATTTAACCTAAAATAGTTCCACAGTTCATCTCCAAATTGACATTTGCATAGACAGACAGCAGCTAATCACTAACAGAAAATTTGGAACCTTTGGTGGCTGGTTACCAGACAGGCATCACATCCGGGAACCACACTCTTCCCAGGTACTTAGAGACTTCAGTGTGAACTTCGTCTGGGGTGCAATTGTCATCAGGGACCAAAACCTCCTCCATGACAGACAGCTGGGTGAGCCTTCTGCCACAGAGTCTTACAAACTCAATGAACGCACTGCAGCTGACCTCACACTCGCTCAGGCCCAAGGCTGTCAGGTTTTTACAGTGTTGAGCAATGCGAATAAGTTCACTGTCCAGGGGCTGAAGGCCATTTGCACACACCACTAGCTCAATCAGGCGAGGGCAGTTGAGGCCTATGCGGCCTAGAATGGTTCTGCTTACTGAACGCCCAAAGTAAAGGTGAGTGACAGGGGTTTCTTCTTTGAAGAATGTCTCAAACTCTTCCTCATACAGAAAGAAATACATGACAACGTTAACTCCGGGGGAGTGTTTAATCAGCGCGTCCCAGCTGTGCTTTTTGATGGAGTGAAACTTGATCTGTCCAGGGTTCTCACTTACAACATCTATTCGAAGATGTTCGAGGTTCACATGAGTCTCACTTGACAGTGCAAGGAGAAGCTCGTCACTCAGAATGTAGTAATTTAATGCCAGTTCCCTGAGGCCCTGACAGTGGTCTGCCACACAGAGGATTCCTGTGGGAAATTGGGGAAATCCTTAAGAACAGAAGATCACACTGATACTAAAGCAAACTTTATAAATTTAAATTCTCTATTAGTTATTTTACTACAACAGATGGCTAATGAGGTTTCAGAAAATGGATGCTAACATATATTATATGTGTGCGGTTTCTTCAAAATTTCCCCCCAAACCCTTACCCACTGCTGAGGGAAGGGACATGCAAACTGCTGCAGGCACCGTGGAAATCAGTGTGGAGGTTCCTAAAGTAAAACCGGCGCTACCTAAGACTCCTCCCACAGAGAGGTACCCAACAGAGGTTCTCGGTGTCTACCAACAGATGAGTGGGTAAAGAAAATGTGCTTCATACAATTTCTACTGAGTCATAAGAATGAAATTGTGACATTTTTAGCAAAATGAAATCACCTGGAGAATACTAGGTTAAACAAAATAAGGCAGATTCAGAAAGATAAATTTCACACTAACATACTCAAAGTTCATATTTAAACTCACACACATCTGCACAGGCACACACACGGACATGCAAGGCATGAAAGCTCAAGTATATCCTAGGTTCCTTCTCTTGCCTGTGATAAAACACGGACCAAAATCAACGTGAGGAGGAAAGGGTTCATTTGGCTTAGACATCTAGATCACAGCCCATCTTGACAGAAGCCAAAGCAGGAACCTGGAGGCAGAAACGGAAGCCGAGATCATGGAGGACGCTGCTTACTGGCTTGCTTCCCTCGATCACTCAGCTTACTTTTTCACACAGCCCAGGGCTACCTGCGCAGGGGTGGCCCTGCTCACAGTGGGCTGGGCCCACATCCCTATGAATTACAGAAATGCAACCACAGACTTGTGTAGGGAAAGACTCCATACCTGTACCTGTTGGGCATGGTCACAGGTACATAAAAGGGTAGGATAAAGGGCGAGAAGGAGCCTGGTTCTCTCTCTCTCTCTCTCTCTCTCTCTCTCTCTCTCTCTCTCTCTCAGTTCAGCCAGCTCTTGGAAGCATCTGGGACCGGAATTCTCAGAGTGCCAAATCTGGTTACTGATTCCTCGTGTGAGTGTGAGTTTGACACCCCAATAAATTACCAGTTAATAACCTATCTCGGGTTCCATCTTGTTCCTCATCAGACTTGTCTCAGGCCAATCTGATGGAAGCATTTTCTCAATTGAGGCTCTTTCTTCCCAGATGACCCTAGCTTGAGTCAGTAGAAAAAAATCTAACAAGCATGAAAGGGGCCACGACAGGGAAGGAAGCCGTGGGGAAGCAGGGAGTAATGGGACACACTGATGTAAAGCAGAGGTGCAGGAAGAGGGCAGCGAGGGGAGAGGGGGAGGGGAGGCAAGCAGGCATTAAATACAATAACACATGAGTACACATGAAAATGCCATGATAAAACCATTACTTTGGTGTGTTAATTAAAAAATTAACTAGAAAAAATAAATTATAGACCAATCTTCCTAATGAACATTCATGCCAAAACACTCGCAAACCTTGGGGGTAAATGAACCCGCTGTGCTGGCAGAAGGACCTGAGTTTGGATCCCCAGAACACATGTGAAGCCACACGTGGGAGCATTTCTGCAACCTTAGTGCTCCTCCAACAAGGTGGGAGGTGGGGATGAAGAACTCCTAGAAGGCCCCACGCCCACTGGTCTGGTGTCTACAGTGGCATGATACCATATCTCCGAAAAGTTGGATGGTGATTACCCATTCCTGATTTCTATACACATGCCACAGCCTATGTGCACCAACACTTTAAAAGTTGAACACATACGCACACACACACACACACACACACACACACACACACACTTAAAAAACGCTTGCAAATCAAATAGAGGAACTCATGAAAAAGGTCATTCAGCATGGTCAGGTTGGCTTTACAGCTGCAAGGAAAGTTCAACTTGTGCAAATCAATAAACGCTAAGACATCACATAAATGGTCAAAGACAGAAACCATGTGACTTTCTCAACAGAAGCAGAAAAGAGATTTGACAAATGCCACATTCCTTCATGAGAAAACCCTTGAAGAAAGAGGGAACAGAAGGAATGGGCTCAACACAATAAAGGATACCTACAAAGAACCTATAGCTGACATTGTATGAATGGGGAAAAGAACCCCAAAGCATTCTGACTAAAATGAGGAACAAACTAAGGCTGCTCACTTCCTCCACTCTTACTTACTATAGTAACAGAAGCCTTAGAACACCAAGCAGAAAGAAGCAAACAAAGGAATATAACTAAGTGGCTGGCTGGTTCTAGGCAACTTGACACACACAGGAGTCATCTGAGAAGAGAGAATCCCAATTAGGAAAATGTCCTCACCACAGAGGTCTGTGAGTAAGTCTGTGGTGAATTTTCTTAATTAGAGACTGATTTCAGAATGCCAAACCTATTGTGGATTGTGTCATCCTTTGGCAGGCAGTCTGAGATGTACTCAAAAGCAGGCTGAGAGAGCCATAGAAAGCTAACCAGCAAGAAGCATTCCTCTTTCCTATATGGCCTCTGTATCACTTCCTGACTCCAAGTTCCTGCCCGGACATCTCTGGATGATGGACTACAAGCTAGAAGATGAAGTAAACCCTTTCTTCCCCAATATGCTTTTGGGCCTCGTGTTTTATCACAGCAACAGAACACTAAGGCAATAGGAAAGGAAGTAAAGTGCTTGCAAAGGACATACTTCTCCACATATGACTTTCCCAGAAAAACTTTAGAGCCAATGAACACTGATAAAAAGTGGAAGGACACAAAAAGAACATACAAAAATCACGACGTTTTTCTATATACCAATAACAGATGTGCTGAGGAAGAAATTGGGAAAACAACCCATTGGCAATTGCCCCCACGCCACACGCACACCATGGAATAAACCAGATCAAGGAAGTGAAACACATCTACAAAGAAAACTTTAAAGCATTCAAGAGAGAAAGTGGAAAAGACACTGGATAAGGGACCACTGCTCTGGCTGCAGGGTTAATCAAGCTGACTCTGAGTTGGACGTTTCCTGCAGGCTAGCTTTCACAGCGCTCCAAAGCACCATGGAGGCCCCTGGGGGAGTCTACTCAGCTATGAATCCTCCACTAGGCAGAAAGTGCAACAGTGGAGTGACCGTTATGGCAGTAACACTTTCTAACTGAATTTGAGGCCCACTCCACAGAAGAGAATTCACGCTTGGTACTGTAAACCTGACCAAAGGCCCATGGCTTGGAAAGTCATAGGAAGTGACACGGAAGCTTCTGCTGTCATTCTGCCAGACAGGCATGCTTGCCCATCAAACTGACCTCTGAACATCTGTGTTACGCTCATGGGTTAGGGCTGCTTAGCCATAGTCAAGAGAAGCCCCATTTTTAGTGGACAGCGGTTACTGCAGAGACTTTAACTGGTAAAAGAGATGAAAATAAGCTGGGCGGTGGTGAGGCAGAGGCAGGCGGATCTCTGTGAGTTCGAGACCAACCTGGTCTACAAGAGCATGTTGTAGGACAGACTCCAAAGCCACAGAGAAACCGTCTTGGAAAGAAAAAAAAAGAGAGATGAAAATATAAGTGACTAAAGAGAGCATCTATATAATGCACTGGTCAAGACGCAGGAAACACTGCAGTAGAGATAGGCAGGGAGGATGCAAGAGACAGAGGATGGGAAAGTATCCTGTGGGATGCTGTGTCTGGACATGACACTGTCTGTTGCACTCGTGAGCCCACAGCAGCTGAGGGTATCCACCAGCAAGGCATCATTGGTCAGGGAGGGGCTCACGAGGTCCCACCCCTCTGTGAAGAGGCTGTTTTCTGTGGATTGTTGCTGGGGAGAAGATTTTCTTCAGTGGTGGTGTTGCCACTGGTAAAGTGCCCATGCTCCAATAATCCCAACCCACTCTCATGAAATTAATCCCATTAAACTCTGTGAGTCAAAAAAAATGCACAAAAAATTAATTAGAAGGGGAGCTTGCTGGGAAGAAGAAGACGACAGGGGAGGAACAGAAGAAGGTAACGGGATGAAGATGATCATGATATATTATATACAGGGTGAAACTGTGAGAAATAGGCCACTAACTTAGAAAAGATGAACAAACTTCCAAGGAAAATATATTCTCTGAAGAAGCAACTTACATTGAATTTGAAGATTAAGATTGCTTTTGAATAAAATTAATAAATTATGTTCCAAAAGCATGTACTCCTCAATAAGTAATCTATTATTACTATAGTGAAAACCAACTATCAATTTATATAAAACAAAATACAACCTACCATCAGATGAAACATGAGGACAGCTACTCATTTTTAGGAGTCGAAGAGTGTCACTATTGTTGGCCACAAGAATCTTCAGTGAGGGATCGTCCACTGGTGTATCTTCAATTTTAATTGATGATAATGATTTTGAGTTGACAAACACAACTGTAAGTGCTGACACAAAATGAGACTTGCATGGCAATAAGAAAAAAATTATGAATATTTAAAACTCAGTTTCAATCAATTAGCGTTAAAATAAATTGTTAAATGCTAAAGCTACAGTAAAACAATGAATATATTATATTTTCATGCTATCACTAGCCAGTAGAAGACATTCCTATTTCTTTTTGAAATAAAATTTCTAGCATACAAAGTATGGGTTTCATTACGACATTTTCATGTACATGTCTCAATGCTTTCTTCTTATTCATCCCTTCTCTCTGCCACTCCCCATCCTCCCGGCTCATCCATCTCTGGTACCCTCATCCCCTCAAATTCTACTCCTGCTCTTATCATGTGTGTTCCCCCCTCTCTGTCCTTCCCTCTCTTTCATGATTCCCTTTTTACTTTCATGATCTCAAACACACACACACACACACACACACACACACACACACACACACACGAGACACACAAAGTGTCTGCATAAGAGAGAAAACATGTAGTATTTGTTTTCCTGAGTCTGTTCTATTTCAGTTAGCATAATGATTTCCTCTTCCAAACATTTCTTCAAGGTGAAAAAAACTCTACTGTGTATGCACTAAGCTTTATTCATTTGTCTGTTGATGAACATCTAGGCTGGTTCTACTTCTTAGCTATTGTGAACAGTAAATCTATAAACAGGGCTATGCATGCATCTCTGTGGAGCTGATTTAGACTATTACTTCAGGCAGTTTACCAATAACATATGTGGTTCATATAGTGATTCTTTTACTATGTGTCCTTGGCTTTTGTAGGGGATTAGTGGCTGTAACTGTCTGAGCTCAGTTTTAGGTCTTACATTCTATTCCAAAGATTTCTGTACTGGGTAAGAGATAATTCCTCTACATGTGGATACTCAGTTTTCTAATCAACATTTGAAAAACAGGCTGTATTTTTCCCAATGTATGTTTTTGACTTGTGTAGAAAACCAGGTAGCTGTAACAGTTTGACCTCATTTTTAGGTTTTATATTCTATAACATTGGCTTGTATGTCTGTTTTTGTGACTGTTCGAAACCAAGTTTCTGTTACTTTGGCTCTGCAATACAACTTGAGGCCAGCTTTTGAACTTGCACATGGCTCTTTCTGATTAGAATTTGCTGTGGCAATGAGGGCTCATTTATCCTTCCCTATAAACAACAGAATCTTCTATTTTTGTGAAGAATGTCAATGCAGTTTTGATGGAGATGGGTGAATCTGTAAACAACTTTGGCTAAAGTAGCCATTTTCCACACTATTAATTCTGTTATGAGGTTTTTCCACCTTCTATTATCTTCTTAAATGTCTTTCTTTGATGTCTTAAAGTTTCATTGCAGAGGTCTTCTACCACCTTGTTCCACAGTTAGGTTTAATTCAGAGTTTTGGGGGTCTTTGGAGTTATTGTAAATGGGATTTCTTCTTAGAGGTCTTCTTTCTCGGAAGTTTCATTATTAATATACAGAAAGTCTACTGACTTTTCTATGGTGATTTTGTATCTTGTTACTTTGCTGGAGTTTAAGGTTCTCTGGTGAACTCTTTGGAATTTTCTAAGTATAGAATCATGTCTACAAGTATGAAGAACTGTCTTCTTCCTTTCCAGCTGTATCCCTTTTATTTATGTCTCTAATGTAGTGCTCTAGCTAAGATTTCATGCAGTATATTGAAAAGAGTGGGTAGAGTGGGCATTCTCATCTAATTTTAGAGGAATGTTGGCGTGTTGAACTCTGTCAAAGGCCTCTTGTGTGTCTAGTGAGATAATTATGTGTTTTCCTCTTCTAAATCTATCTATGTGTTACATTACATTGAATGATATGTATACACAAACCCAGCCAACCTTGAATCTCTGGGGAAAAACTAACTTGTTCATGGTATAGACTTTTTTAATGTGAATATCCACTTGTATAACAAAAAGTTCCAAAGCACAAATGGAAATGGAATGATGAGAAAGGAAAAAAGTAAAAGTTCCAAGTATCTCATAAAGGATGTCTTAGCTATTTTCAACCTCAAGAATTTGATGTCTAGTATTAAAAGGGTCTAATTTTTTTTTTCTAGAATAGAGATTAGCTAACTACGGACGATCAGCCAAGCTCAATGCAGAGTCTATTTCTCTATATTTCATGAGTACATCTTTTACATTATTAAATTGTAGAAAAACATCTGAAGTATAATAGCGTATGGCATGGGAGCTTCATGGAACAGTCATCAATGCTCACAGATGAAGGCTGCATGGCCCACAGCCATGTGCTTTCCTTTTGCGCAGTCTGTGTTGGCTCCTCCCCTGCAACAATGGGGCTGAGGATTTGAGGCAGAATTGCACAGCCCTCAAAGCCTAGAATTCTGTGGTTTCTTCCTACCTCTTGCTAGGAGAAATACATTTTTTCCCTGTTTAATTCACTTCCTTATTTCCAGACCTAAGATAGTATCTGGAACATAGTTAATAAATATTTCTTAAAAGGATGGATATGGATGAAGGGATGTTATAACAACATGTTCTTTTTCTAGCAGATTTAAACAAAGTAAATAGTTACATTTTTTTGAAGAATTACAAAATAAAGCTTATTAATAATTTGCTCTCATTGCAGGTAGAATCCCACACATTTTCAGATTCACTATTTCTGGAAAAGTCAGAAAGTGTGGAAAGCAAATCCAAGGCAAGATCCTTTTTCCTTCCATAAAGTCAATCTTGGTTGTACTAAAGGTTCTACTGGTCCTGTTAGGATGAACACATTGGTTATAAATGGGTAAACATGCTGTCTTATACCAATTAAAAGTGGTTTTCACATAGCAGAGAGCTAGTGTGCTACTAAATTATTATGGAACTATATCTCTTTTTCAAGAAATATACAGTTGATTCCCCTCTTTAATCAACTCTGAATGAGTTCTTTTAGTCTTGAAGGACACTTAAGTGGCCCAGCACGTTTCATCATAATCACATTTGCTATATTCTTTAAAGTCCCACAGTTTTATCTAGTTTTTCCACTAGTTTATAAGTGGGAAAACCAAGACAGGGTCCTGGAGAGCTTCTCAAGCCGTCCGGAGGCCACAGAATTCACCGAGACAGAGCAGGCTACCTACTGCCTGGCAGCTGCTGGGTAACTGCATCAGCAAACTGATGCTGGCCTTGGAGGCTGATGAAGGGCTCCACCAGCCTTGGCTTTAGAATCTAAGACCATCAGGTCAGTCTGGGTCTGTGGTTTATAAACAAGGAAGTAACTATTTAGCACTAGTCAATTTTCAACTGATTACTTATATTATTCTAAATCCCCAAATGACCCAATTTTTTCCAGCCTATCTTTTAAAAAGATAACAGGCTAGCAGAAAGCCTGGATACAAGAGCCATGACCCAGTTTATAGGAGTGAAGATGCTGTTATCCCTACTTCTACTGTAGGAACTTTCCGTGAGGCCGTTTTTTATCAACAACCATAATGAAGTGCGAGTTACAAACTGAATACTACTTTAACCTGGGTTCCTGGTGGTAAACAAAATGGATATAGACTCTCATCCTTCAAAGAATTAGTTTGAGTGTGAGGAGAAGACAATAAATCGGCTAAATTAATCATTAAGATGGCTCTGAGTACTAACAACTGATATAAAGAAGATAAAATATTGTAGGCATTATGGTTAGTGTTAGTCATCAACTTGACAGAATCTAGAATCACCTTGGAGCCTTTGGAGATTATCTTACTCATTATTTATTCGGTTGCTTACTTACTTGTTAATGCAAACACGCATGCTATTGCCCACATATGGAGGCCAGAGAGCAAATTACTGCCACCATATTGTCCTGGGGATCAAACCCGACTTCTTAGACTTGATGGGAGGCACCTTTACCCACTGAGCCACTCCACTGTCCCAGAATTACCCTGATTATGTTAATGGAGGTGACAAGCCTCGATGAATGTAGACAGCACCTTTCCCTGTTTGAGACCCTGGACTGTATGAACGGGAATGGGCACTGAAGAGCAGCAGCCTGCATCCAGAATTCCCTGCTGCCTGACAATGGTTACCGTGTGACTGGATGCTTCAAGCTCCTGCTCCTTGGCTTCCTGACCATGATGGACTGTGCCCTGAACTGCCAGCCAGGCCATTTCTCCCTTATATTGCTTTTGACAGAGTATTTTCTAAACTAAGACAGCATGAGCAGAGAGTCAGCAGTTTGAGAAAATGTCTCTGAGGGGCCAAGGACACTCAGGTAAAGGCTTGAAGATGATGGTTCCTACAAAGACAAAACTCCACCTTCCCTCTTTGATTATCCAGCACTGAAATTTAACTGACAGGCAGATCCCTGGGGCTACTTGGCCAGCCAGTCTAGCCTAATTTTTGGACTCTAGGCCAATGAGAAACTCAGTCTTAAAGGAAATGGATGGTGTTTGGGGGTGGGGGAGGACATGTCCTCTGACAGTCACATGCATGCACACATATGAACACAAACACGGTTTTAAAAGAAGTTTACCATGTCTCACAAAAGGCACTACATCCTTACCTTTGGCACGTTCATAAAACTTGGCTTGGCTGTTGAAATCAGCCCCAAGGTCTGGATAGAACAGTTTACCAACTGAGACAGAATATCACAGGCCGCTTCCGCTGACTCAGTACTGCTATCAACCTGTAAAGACAATTTTTCAACTGAAGTTCCTGAAGGCAATTTATCAGAGCCACTGGAAATGCAATTATTTAATGGGATTCAATAACCAAGTTCTGTTCATTCCTTTCATCAACATAAGTGATTATTTTTGTATGAAATGTCTGAGCTTACAAAGGGAGAGAGAGATAGAAATATGGCAAAATAACTTCACAGCAATTCATGCTTTCAGGTCTTTATAATTATCTGGGTATTAATGATAATATCCAAATGAGGACACTGAACTTCAAGCCATTTAATTACAGCTCGGGTTCTGTATTTCAGTCTGGGTAATCACTAGAGACAAACCAGAAAGCAACGTGGGGTAACAGTCCTGGCGTATGTACCGAGTGCCTCCACATAAGGATCCAGACACACAGAGGGTTTGCCGACGTGAGCCACTTCCTACCTTAAAGCTGACGTACTGCAGGTGTGCAGCATGCTTCTTGATGATCTGCTGGATGAGATCAGGGTGTGTGGACTTGAAATAGGAGGTGGCTGATTGGTTCAGCTCAAACTCAAACTTTCTCCAAAGGTCAGGGATATGAAACACTTCATTCCATCTCCTGCACACAGACGATGCCCGGGCGCGGTCTATTAAAGGGAGGTACCGGAAAATGTGCAATATCACATGGTGAGGTAAGGTCCCCCAGTCTAGAAGAACAGAGAGCGCGTGAGTCTGGGTGAGAGACGTGCAGAGCCCACGCTTGGGCTGCTTCACAGCTGGTGGGGTCGGCACAGCTTTATTCAGAGTAGAGAAATTATTCCTCTTCATTCTGTAAGTACCAGAAAAAAATGCTGTTTGCTTCTTTTCCACCGTCCCACAAATATCTATGCTCTAACTGTGCAGAATAATGTTAGAATGGACAATAATCCAACTGACACACTTTCAACGGTAACTTCCACTTCTGTGCATTGGTAAGTGCCACTCTGCTAAGGACACAGGTCACACGCAAACCTGCCCTCACAGCCATGACCAGCAGCTGAGTGCAATGGTAAATGATATGACTGAGGGGTAGCAAGTAGCACAAGGGAAAAACAGGGAGCTACACGTGACTGCCTTTGTGTGCGGGAGAAGTGAGGGGGGGGCTCTAAGAGGAAACATTCAAAATAGCTTATACCCCAATTTTTGTTTTCCCCATCGCTAAGTTCTGTATCTTACTGTATCCACACTGAAACCCTGCTGAGTTCATGGTTGATCTGGGAGACAGTCCGACTACACTAAGAGCATCCATCATGAAGAGTCTCATGTACCAACCATGTGACTCTAAGCAGGGATCAGAGCACTCTTGAGGAGTGGACCACTTTATGTATCGGTGTGCCATGCATACTCTGAGAAGTGCTGCTATACTAACTTGTGTTTCTCTAAACTACTTTCATTCTTCAAGTCAAGTCACAGTTCTAAAAGAAAACCAAATGATTTGCAATGAATTGAACATAAGAATTCTGGGAAACGTGGACATAGCAGAGACAGAGTAGTTGCATAAGTACAACCTGCTCCTCAGCAGTCCGTAATTAAGGAGCAGGGGAATGAACATTACTCTCCCCAGAAAGAATCTCCAGGCATTAAAACTACTTGGGACACTACAAAGCTCTAACACTCTGAAGCCCAGACACAGAGGTACATATAAGAAATTATTTGTAGCCTTCTTGGCATGTTTTATGTAAGAATCCAAATTACTAAATAGAGTATTATTGGAGTGGTTTTATAATGGTAAAAATGATTCCGAACTAACCCTCTTTCCACCCATCAATATCAGGAATGGATATACAAATTCAGTATCAGGTTTGAACATACCTTCAAATCTACTGAAATATTTATTTACAGTGTAAGTATATTTGTCTTGTGATTTGGTCTGAGTGGTGCGAAACATGTCTTAACCACAATGTAAAGTAGAATCCCAGGAGGAGGACTGACCTATAAAACCACTGAAAAAAAAAAGTCACTTTAGGGCTTAGAAAATGCAATGGAAAACAAAACCCTTGCCAACTTGTAACAAAGAAAGAGCTACTCTATCCATCTCCATCTGACTGAACCTGTCAAGAAATACAAGGCAATGATTCAGAGCATAGCCTACAGCTGCACTCTTTACTGCTAGTTCCTTTAGAAACTCCTCCCTGCCTCTCCTCGCACCCCCCTCTCTCTCTCTCTCTCTCTCTCTCTCTCTCTCTGTGTGTGTGTGTGAAGGAGTAGAGGCTAGATTCTAAACTTAGAGGCAGAAGACATCCAAAACAGTATTACTATAACTGTTCCACTCAATAGCCTACAAATTAGTTCAAATTTAGCTGGTTGATGGTGGCCCACGCCTTTAATCCCAGTACTTGGGAGGCAGAGGCAGGCGGATCTCTGTGAGTTTGAGGCCAGCCTGTTCTACAGTGAGTTCTAGGCCAGTCAAGGCTACACAGAAAAAATCCTGTCTCAAAAAGAAAAAAATAAGAAAGAAAAAAAAGAAAGGCTGCCCCTAATATAAAACTTTATTAGAAGAGCAGTGAAGACAAATATACACTTTATCCAAATGCCAGGTTTTGCATAACTACCTCATAGTTCTCTACACAGTGATTGTGTTAGACAGTAAGTTTGATTGTACATAACAAGAATTGTTTAATTTACTCTATTCATTAAATTGCCAGTTTACTGAATCATCATAAAGAATTAATGTTATTAGGAGCTGGAAAGATGGCTCAGTGGTTACAAGCCCTTACTACTCTCACAGAGGACCCAGGTTGGATTCCCAGCACCCACACATGCATCAGGTACCTAGATATAAATGCGGCAAAATACCAATACAAGTAAATAAACTTCTCAAAACGAAATATATTAATATTACCGATAATTTAGTAAAATACATGTTATTTTTCTTTCTCCTCACATAAATTAATAAAGCATGAAACTCCCAATTATAAACTTCATATAGCACAACATTGCAGCTATGTGTGCCAGTATATTTTAGAATGTACGATAAATTGATTTGTATTACTTGGAAATACTTTTCTGATCATTTATTCATTATTTAGTTAAATAATATGTGAAAGGTTCAGGCATTATGCTGGCCTGCCCCTGTTACCTGGTGGAATCCACTCAGGCAATACCCTGGTCAGCCCAAGGTTCCATGGGAAAGAAGTCTGCACACAGGTGCAGAGGACCCCTTTAAAAGATAGGCCCCTGCCCCTTTACTCTCTCTCTCTCCCCCTGTCTCTCTCTCTCTCTCTCTCTCTCTCTCTCTCTCTCTCTCTCTCTCTCTCTCTCTCTCTCTCTCTGTCTGTCTCCCTGTCTCTCTCTCTCCCTGTCTCTCTCTCTCCCCTGTCTCTCTCTGTCTCTCTCTCTCTGCTGCTCTCTCTCCCCCCTCTCTCTCTCTCTCTCTCTCTCTCTCTCTCTCTCTCTCTCTCTCTCTCTCTGTGCTCTCTGTTCTCTCTCTTTTACCCCTGTTCCTCTTAAAACAATATGAGTTACATTAAATAATTTATGAATTTGGAATGCCACTTGGTCATATTGTATTCCCACTGAATTTTTTTCTTGGAAGTGTTTTATATATAAATTCTCATTTTTTTAAAAAAAAAAAACCTGATCATTTCTTTTTACCTTAAAGAAATGGTATCACTTCTTTTTCAAGACTCTCTTACCTAAAGGTGGTTTCCAAGTTGCAGTTGACGCTGAACCAATGGAATGAAGAATTGCAGCCATGGGGTACTCACCAACATCCATTTGCCTTCACTTTCAGTCTTGGAAAACACCACAAAAGCATCATTAGAGCATGTAATAAATAATTTTATGCTTAGGTCATTCATAGGTCATTATGTACATTTGTGATTTTATTAGAAAACTATTAATACTTAAACTATTTTCTGCCCATATGAAAAACTAGCTTGTGGAAACATTGCAGTACTTGCCAGGTGTTACACTGGAAGCTGTACTAAGGTTCCGTATCAGGCAGTAAACGACTCTGAAAATTTACATTTTACTTAGTATCTATGGAGAGATACCATGAAAATTGCAGGCGCTTCATAATTACATGTATTCGTTTGTAAGCTGTATAAATCTTTCCACACAGTTCAAACTTCCCTGTAGCATTAAAGATATATTTACTTACGAAGAAAACTGCAATTTTTAAAAAATAGATACGTTCATTTTTAATTGCAGTATCCGAAGTTTGCAAAAATGGACTTGGATTGAAAACACCCTTTTGAGACGCCAGGATGGCAGAAAAGTTGCACAGAACTTGACCTGAGCCATCCCTCAGACTCCCTGGGGGAGCTGGGCGCCCAGAATCCTGCCCCATCTTCCTGCAGCCTCAGCCTGGGAAGAGGCGACGTCAAGCCAGGGCGGAGTTCAAACGACAGAGCAAACGCAGGCTCCCAACATGCACGGTGCAACTGACCTTCCATGCCCACTGCCCAGGGGCGCGGGGCTGGGGAACGACCCACCCTGGCCGAAAGCCCTCCACAGAAGCGGCGGCGAAACGGCCGGAAGGGCCGGCTCGGGACGGGCTCTG